CCAGCTTCCAAAAAGCTAGCATCAGAAAATGTCTGTGAAAATATACATTTCATCAAATTCCATAAAAACAGTTCTGGTCTGCTACTGAAAATAGCAGCATCTCGAATGTGTCTAATGGAGATTAGTCTTATGTGTACATTGTGTGGAAGGACATAATACAGGACGTTATGAAGGATAAAGTGAAGGAGACAAGGAAAATTAAGTGTTGCCGTGGGCTATTTAATATGTAGTGTGCAAATCTTTTGCCTAAAATTGTGCATAGTTCTGAGATTTTAAATATATTCATTTTTATATTAACAAGTGCCCATATCTTCAAAATCTAATCTACATCTACCTATGTTCTTCTTTCTTACTGAACTTACTCTTACCCTATCTACCAATCATCATCAAGGAAGTGCTGGCAAGAGGGGCATGGTGCTTTTTGAAAATGGGAAAATATGATGCTTTCTTCTTATTTTTCTATTAATTTTACATAAGCCAAAGATGACCTAGGTGGATTTTGTGTAGAATCATATACACTTCCTTTTAACCCTTGACAAGAAAAAACGCACTTCTTTCAGTTTTCTGTGCCGGCATCAACAACACGTTCACTATCCTGACTTCTATCTTGACACCTCTGAACCTCCAGCTTTCTCTCCATTGGCTTCTGAATCCAATTAATTGGGAAGTCCAGGTAATTCTCCCTCTGCAGTGTGAGCTAACGCCTGCCCTTCCTTTAGAAGTTCTTCCGACGTCATCACCTATTTCAGGAAGCTCTGCTGAACCCAAGCCCAGCTGGCCTTCTCCATATTTCCATAATCCTTTGTGGATAAAGTGATAATCCACTTTATCACTGAGCTAGCCACATTTCGTTACAATTATGGTCAATAATAATCTCCTAGGACAGTGGTTCTCAAATTTTGCCACATATTGGAATCATAAATAACTAAAAACCAACTAAATCAGAATCTCGCTGGCGCTGGCGAGGTGAGACCCAGGCAAGGTATTGTTAAAAAGCAACGCTTTTCAAATTTTAATGTGCATACAGATCATCTCAGGATCTTGTTGAGATGCAGATTCCCAGGTGGGGCCCAAGATTCTGCATATCTAACTAGCTTCCAGGTGTCACAGATGCTGCTTCTGTTAACTCAGCTAAAAGTTGCCCCCAAATGGTCAGATATTTTAGAAAAGAATCATATTGCTTATCTCTGTATCTCTATGTGTATCGTAAACTCACCACCTCTTACCCAATATTGAACTATTCTTCCTACCCTGTTACCCTTATCTGCCACCACATTTTAGGTGAGTGGAGGTGTTGACATTTTCTCATAAATCAGAGTTTGGGTTGCCAATATTTCAGCTATCATTGCACTTCTTTTCACAGTAAGTACATCCTTCTCTGACCCTGCAGAGTCCATGTCTGTGTGTTAATCTTACTGGCCACAGGACACGGTGACATGTTGAGGGTATTAAGAGGGTCTTAACTACCTTTGCTTGTGCTTCCAGTTTTAAGTATGACCTCGTCTGTTTACGTTGTGGTCATCCAGCCTCCAGACGGCCCAGTGCTGCTGCTTGGATGCCATGTGAGCCTATCTTTTTTTCTCCTTGGACACCTGATAGCCCTTTACTTCCTCACCCATTCTCACGTTTTCTTCAATCCACCATCGTCACGCTCCTCTATTGACTTACCCCAAAATAACTGGAACCAATGAACACGAGCACAATGCAAACAGGTGCTTATACTGTAAAAACGTCTTCCTTCTTCTACTTTAAGTGCTCTGTGCTCAACTGCATTGCTTTTCCTCGGTTAACCATTCTGTTACGTGTACACACCAGCCCTTTCAGTCTCAGGCCTCAAGAATAGGCTGTAACTATTCTTCAGGAGGGCTGATAGCATAATTTAGAGTTCTTTTAGCCTTTGTATATCTTTACATGGCAATCTAGCTACAGTCTGATGGTCCCCAGAGAGTGTGCACTGAGGCACCTGGGGTGCCTCACGAGGAAATATTTTTAAAATTCCAGGGAAATAAAGCAACACTTGAGCTCTGTCAGGCAGGCACCTTGTGAATTACTAGCTCAGGGTAGTTCACAGTTTCAACAGTAAGTGGTGCCCTATTCCTTTCGATGATGTCATATATTTATAAAGCTGGGTTCCTCTCCCCACCCCTCACTTCCCCTCTGCACTTGTGATAAAAACCAAGCACAGTGCAAAAATCAATGTGGAATAGTTATCCAGGGGGCTGAGTCCAACCTGAGAAGTTGTGCGCTGCCCAACAGACACACATTTTCCATTAGGAAGTAACTGGTTATTTAGGAATGAAGGGGGAAAACAATGTTTTACTTAGTGTGTATTTTTGTCAGTTATTTTCTAGAACACAAATACTTACTAAATTGTTTGTAACTAACTATTTCTTTTGGCCTAAGGGCACTATGAAAAAAAATTATTGAAACATTAAGGGCATTGTGACCCGAGAAAGTTTCTGAACCTGTGCTATAGCCTGACCTTGAAAACAGCAATACTTCCCCCGCCCGCCCCCAAAAATGTCTTGACCTTGAAGATGTGGATACTCTCATCAGGTTATCTGTTTTATTCCAGATCTATTAAAAGTAGAGCAACTTGCTGCCACATGAGGAACACAAACGTATTTTTTTTTCTTTTTAAAAATTTATTTTCTGTCTATTTTTAATTGTGGTAAAAAAACACATTATCGTCTAATCCTTTCATCTGTTGTTGATAAAACATAACTCCAAAGACAGGTTTCGGAAAATGCCTTATCAATCGTGCAAGAATCCCTCTTCCACACATCTGATGCAGCAGCACTGGCAACTCTGACAACTTCAATTACTGCCCTTGACTTTTTCCTTCAGCTAATATTCTCTTATGTGTTATAATTTCAGGGAGATGGGAGAGAGGCAGATTAAGGTGAGGCAGTGAAATTTATCTTGCTGCCAATACAATATCCAAATCCAGCTAATCAAATTTGAAGCAGTGATTGCGAAGGGATTTTGCCACTTCCCTTACATTTTCCATCCACGGAGAGATCCTTTAATGACTTCATTTTACTTTTGCAACGATATAAAAATCAGTATGCCATGTCAATGCATTACTGATAGATTTAATAGAGTGTATACAATGGCCATGTCACCAATAACAACTTCTTTATGCACCTACTGTGGGCCAGCCACTACTCCTCATCGCACTTAAACTGCGCTGCCATCCCATGAGGGAGGCATTGCTGCTGCATTTTCTAGATGAAAAAACTTAAGCCTGAAAAGGTTGATAACCTGCCCCGGGCCACACAGCTGGCAATTGGCAGCACAGTGATGCAGCTTCAGGTCTGCTCTTGTCCATCGCTCACGACTTTTCCCCATGGCAAAATTACCTCTCCTAATTATAATCGGAAAACAGTTTCCTATGCGGTTTTGTTCACGGCCGCTCTGAGTGCCCTGAAATACCCTGGCCTTTCTTTAAAAATATATGGTACTTGTTATGTAAAATGTCATCACAATTTGAGAAGAAAAAGGCAGAAAAGAAAAAGGGGGATCAATGAGTAAGACAAAGCACTTTTAAAAGCTTCTATGAAAATATTGTTATTTGTAGTGTAGAAAGTGCTTTAAAGATTATAAGATGATCATGATTATTATTTTCATAACCATTGCCCTATTAATGTAGTGCTGCTCACATTTGACAAAGGAAATGGAGTGAAGTACAGCTAAGTGGACTGTCTTCAGCAGTCACACACACAGCATGTGAATTTCACAGCTAATACAAGACTAGACCCTTGGGGATCTGTGTTGCTGTTCACCCTATTTATGGAATACTTCGTCTCCTGCTTTATTTCCCATTAATAATTCACTTCATCGGAACAAGGCCTGGTTACCTCAGCCCAAGCCATGGATGACTTTCCTTCATTTATAGTGGTAAATACTTACAGAGACTGTTTGCACACGATTATTCAGGGATATTTGATAACAGAGTGTAAGTGTGAACATGCAGCCCTTGGAATCTGCAAAAATGTATGCGATTTGCATGGAAGACATTTTATCACCTCTACTATGTTCATTCCTAGTTTCTTTACCTAAAGGATGTGTGGCAATGATTTTTCTCATCAATACTATATTACGGAATGCAGAACCTACAAAGTACAAACCTGTATCCCTGCTTTTTTTTCTTTTAACATCTTTATAGTATGCAGATACTCTGCAACAAGCACATAGCTGATGATAAAAGGTCAGTGAAACTCACAATGACAAGATAACCCAACTGTTTCCCTGACTCAGCCCCAGTGATTGGTAAGCGCTCTCATAAGTGATGCCTCTTCTTTCTGCCTGAAGCCAATAAAATGGTCAGATGATATTTGGAAATAGCACCTTTCCATAACCATTTTTCTCTTTTGTGAACCCTGCCACAGTTAAATCACAAGCTTTTGAAATGCCTGGCTCTTGCCAATTATCTGAGACAAGACAAAACAGCAACAGCAGCAGTAACAACAACCAAATCTAAGGCCGTGGTGGGTTTTGAAGACAAAGGGCTCTATTTGGCCAGAGAACGAATGGCACTGTAGTTAGCAGAGTTAAGAAATAGTTAATTTGAACTTGGCCAGTGGACTATAAAGCTCAGAATGTTTGCTTTCAGAATGAGAAAAGGGAACCTTCTTTTCCTTATCACTTAATCGCTCTAGTCCTATTTTTAATACAGCCTACTTGATAAAATAAGCTGGACCATATTTTTCAAACTAAAGTAAACATTAAAGGATTTATGATAATCCTGTGTGGATGGTTGTGGGTGTTTCCTTTGCAATTGGGGCATTTCTCTTTCTCTGTTGCAGCGCTAACATTTCTCAGCTTCTTGCTAAAGCCTTCTTCCCCAAACGACTGAAGTGGGGGAAAAAAAAGTCCTACCAGATAAGCAGCAATTCTTACTGTATTGGGAGAATACTTCACATCCCCTGTCTACTTATTAGAAGTAACTTCTTCAGGCTCTTAACACCAGAATGTCAAAGCGCCCAATGGGATCCTACCTTGCCCACATACTGATAATCGGATCCCGTATATTCCTCCAGGAGAAAGAACTGATTCCACATCCAGCTCCTTTTCGAACGGTTCAGCTCAGTTTTGCTGTTTCCAGAGAGCTCCAGGGCTCTTTTCTTGGCTGGGAAACCACTAGTCCTCTTAGATAATGGAGTTGAGACAGTTGGGTAGGGTTGTCCCACCCAAAAGAGTAGCAAGAAGTACCGGTAAGTTCTCATTCTGATGAGTCAGTCCAGTCTCTGGGCAGTGGGTCCTCCTCTCCTTGAAGTATCTTTTTTCACTGTGCTGTATCCAGCCTCATTCCTCCTTTCTTCCTTACCGTTCTTTGCTTGGCTCTCAGACGATATCTGGAAAGAATAATAACACATCAAGCATTTTTAGAGAAGCTTAAAATTTAATGTTAGAGCAAATAAGCTCCAGCAAAAGAGGACAGAAATTTGAATAGCAAAACAACAAAAATAAGTTGGCTATCAATTTTGAACCACGGAGAATATTCTTTCAGATACGCTAAGTGGGCCGAGTAGGGAGCGGCTGTTTTCTCCTTTTCTACCCCTTAAAAATCCTATTTTAGGTTATAGTGTTGTTGTAGATAAACATGGCAGAGGGGATGATTTCATTTCTCTTTTACTTCTGGCTACGTACGCTGAGATCTGGCTCAAAGAAATGAGTTTGTGTTTCTGATTCTATTTGCATATTTATCCTCATGACTTAGTCTATGGCAAAGACTATCACAGACAATTTCAATTCATTTGAGAATGGATAAAGTTGAAATTTCACTAAACTGTATTGAGTACCTGTGATGTGTAGGCTTAAGTCTAGGCGCAGCCTGTACTGAGACTGTTGGCTTTGGAGATAGAACAGTCTGGATCAAATAAGGTGGAAAAGGCCATATACCTTCTCCTTAGAATGCATTTTAGCATATTGAAGTTTCTAAAATGAAATTTTGTAATGATGATGACAAGCCTATATTTAATCCAGTATTTCCCAAACTTGACCAGGAAACTTTTTTTCCTCATATGACCTATTAACACCATAGGATGGGTACCAGGTATAGAATTAGAATTTACTAGAATATGAGAATTAAATGAATAATTCTGATCAAATATCTTGAGGAAATCCTTGGCTTTCATGTTGAAATTTTACTTGTATCATAAGCAACCAACTCTATGTATTAAAATTGGTCAAACAATTTCTATGTAATTTTTTCAGGTGCATCAAACATATCTCAATATCACAGGGCAGGATTTCAGAATGTCAGCTGTTATACTTGTGGGTAGTAATTTTCCATGACAATTATTTTCAAGAATACAACCTAGCATTTCAAAAAATCCTGACCAGACTGCTTGGCAAAGGTGTCACAGATTGGTTTACTATTTTATGTAATTAAAGGAATCCATACCTATATCTCCATCCTAAACTTTTCCACATTTCTTGAAAAAAAAATCCAACCATTTATTCCTTCATTGTACTATTTGATAAACGAAAAATATTTTCTTAAATAATCCTAAGGAACAGTGAAGTGTTTTGTAAGGTAGAACAGCAATAAACTGGTACATTCACTCTAAAATATGCAGAAAACAAATGTTTTAGGTAATCTCGTCAGTATTTTTTCCCTCTTTGTCAGCAAAGATTTGTTCACTTTTCTCCTATTTTTCTACCAGGTAGATGCATATGTGACCAGTTTTTTTTTTTTGGTCCCTCAGCAATGAGTAATTGTCACCTACCACATGGCTTAGTGGAAGCTTTCTGTTGGAATATAAGTGAAATATTTCATAGTGTTCAGCATTTTAAAGCCTGTATTCCATTATTATGTATCTTCTTGACAGCAGGCTGGGGAAGTTGAAGATTCCAGAGGTGAGTAAATTAGTACTGTGACAATTAGTCATGCTGGAAAAATGCCAGATGACAGTATACTTGTCATTATGTGGCCTTGGTACAGGTGTGGAATGACTGATGATCAATTAGGCAACGACCATCTTCTCTCTACCCGTGGATGGTTTATAAAGGGGACTGAGAGAGCATATGGAGAAAATCCCTCTGAAGAAATCTATTCATTTTTAGTAGTAGAGATTACACTGAGGTCGACTCCATGGAAATTACATTGTTCTTAATTTCCCACATTCTCCATTGTTTGCATAGACAAATCCCGCAGTGAAGAATTACACGTCTGCTGCTGCACTCAGAGTGTGCCCCATGATACTGGCAGGAAAGAAGGATGCAGAGAATGGAGGTGTCAGCTGTTTAAAGGCAGACTCCTAAAGGCCACTTTAAAGAAAAATCGATCTCTGTGGGTGTTGTGTGCAAAGTCTACAAGCTGTTGCCACTTGAATATTAAATATTAGTTCTTTTTAATATCACAGATACCGAAATGTCAAGTATTTCATTCTTTCTTTTGTCTTTTTTTTTGCTTCGTTGGTAATGAGCTTTTAAAGTGGTGCAGATTTAAGTATTTCTAAGTATGCTAGCACATCTAGTTTTGTTATGCCCCAAATCTTTTTGTATCAACTTGGCAGGGTATGTCCATGCTAAAAACTCAATATGCAAAATTACTGAAATTACTATGATCCACTCATATTGGGTGTTAGCTTTTAGGTGGAATAGATTTCTCTGTGAAATTCTATAGTTAAAAAAAACTCCCACAGACTAAACTGTGGAATATATAACTTAGCAATTTTTATTTAATACTTTTTAATAGGCACGACTACATAGTGATTACTAATATTATCGATGCTGGAGCCAGGCTGCCTGGGTTTAAATCCAGGCTCTGCCTCATGTTTTCTGTGAACTTGAAAAAATTGCTTAATCTCACTGTACCTTGGTTTCTTCTTCTGTAAATGGGGATAATTATAATAACTACCTCATAGGGTTTTGTAAAGATTAAATAACTCATTATATGCAGAGCGCTTAGAAAAGTGCCTGGCACTTAGGTATTAATAAGTATTAGCTGTTATTATTATTAGGGCTGTTATTGTTACTGGTATTTTCATTGCATGTATAGAATCCGTCTATACCACAATGCAAAAGTCTGCAACGGATAGCATAGTTTCCTCTTAGGTTTAAATCATTTTTTATTTTTCAAGAAGCATTTCCAAGAAAGTCAAATTCTTTTAAAATCAAAGAATGGAAGCACTTTAAAAAATCAGAATTAGTCCATTTGCTAATTATTTTCCTTTGTGTGGTCTTTAGTTGGGGATTTCACAGCAATAGTATAAAAACAGAGAAAGCAGACACTTTATGCCCACTGCCTGCAAGAAAAAGAATACAAAAAGGGAAGTTCACTGGAGCATGGACTCATTTATAGAATCTATGTGTTCTTTTTTTCCTTTCCATTTTGCTTTATACAGAACTAGTTTCAACTTTGTAATTTTGTCCTTGTAAAATGGTACTGGACAAACACATCTTCTTGTAATTAACAGCCTGACATTATTCTAATGTTCTATCGGATGAGAATTTGATATAGTTAAAATCAATGATACACATATTTTTTATTTTACTTCATCTAAAAACATGAAATGCAAAACAAAAACCATACTCCAAGCATGACCTTAGCTAAAACAAAAACAAAAACAAAAACAAAAAAACACCAGGATGCCGAATGGCCGTAAATTCAAGCAAAAGAAGACAACTTTGAGAAATGTGGGAAAGCTGCTGACTTCTGAGCAGTCAGAATACAGTAGAACCACCTGGCAGGTAGTAATCAGATGGGCTAGCTCATTTTGAAGATGTCAGGAAGTAAACCAAAAGGACAAAGACTTAAGGGCACACATAGACACTGAATTTTATTAATAAAATAGCAGTCTTGGTTATTCAACCAGGAAAGAACCAGATTAGATAGTGGGAGAGGAAAGATTGCAAAGCAAAGCAGATATTGTACCTTTTTGCCCCCATCCCCTCATGGCATTAAGAGCAAATCCATTAGAAATATCAAAACTCGGGTCGGCCAAGTAGCGCGTTGGTTAAGAGCTGGTTTGGGATGCCAGAGGGTCCCGGTTGGGATCCCACATATGAGGGCCAGTGACACTGCCCTCTACAGCTAAGATGCTGAACAACAGTTCGACCTGGAGCTGGGCTGTCGTGAATCGCCGGCGACAGCGTAGGCTGCAGCCCCTGCTGCAGTGGGTTGCCATGGGCTACCGTGTGTAACCAGCAGCCAGCGTGAGCGGCCAGCGGCCGTCCAGAAGCCGGCGACTGATCTGCCTCGCTTGGGAAGAGCGCAATGATGGTGCCAACTTGGGCCAGTGAAGCAACGTCCTCCACAACTAGACTGAAGAACAAAAGGACAGCAACTTGTCTGTTTCCCTTCCCCCAATTCCCCAATAAAAATCTTAAAAAAAAAAGTATCAAAACTCTATAAAAATAAAACTCAAACTCCTAATGACAGTTTAGCAATGGGCTTAAAAGATGTCTCTACTCTGTATTTTCTTTTTATTGGGTTCTGTTTTTTTTTAACTTTCTATTTCTTATAAACTATTATTTGTATCCTCTAAAACTTGAGATGCAAAGTGGTTAATCTGGAATAATAGTTTAAATCTTTGCAGGAACCTTTTTTAGTGATGTATACAAGGTAATTAGGATGTTTGTGGATAGCAGGCAAGGCCCACATAGCATTGATAATTGCACACTTTGAAAAGTTATTGGGCTGGCAGCCAATATGCATATACACTTCCATCTTCACAAGGGTACATAGTCAAGTCCAACTTTTATTTAATGCATGCCATTTAGGAGAGGCCTGGGCCTCATTAATTCAGGTTCTACCAATTTAGAATATGTGATAATTAATGCAGAAGTTGGGCTGAAGCTTTTCCTTTGATTAGAAAAACCTCTTTTTTCTAGACTATTGGAAATTAATAATGCAAAAATATTTCATAAGCATATATAGAATGAGAAGACAAGCTACGAGGTCTTCAAGTTCCCTAATGTACCTTGGAATCACCTTTTATTTGCAAATAATTGGTATGCTGATTAGAAACCTTCTCTAGTGACTGAATTGCTTCTCCAGTGACTTATGTTTGATAACAGTCTAATGACTCTGTATTATCTGATTTTGAGATACTGATTCTATTATACTATTTACAGACAAACAAGGAAATATTAGACAGATTTAAAAGCAGTAGAATTCCTTTAAAGTTTTAGAATTCTGACTTAGCCTGCATTTGTGCTGGTGTTCTTGATTAATTCCAGTGAGTGAAAAGGTACCATAATGCTATCTAGGCTTACCAATGAAACCAAGCACATTGATTCTTTGGTCTGCGAAGTCTTAACTTTGGCATGGAAAGCACAGTAAGAATTCAATAAAGCAACATTATTAATATACGTTAACCATGTACCATAGTAAGAGAATGTTTTA